GAGTTGTGTAAATAAGCAAAATTAGAAAAATTGTGTCACAGTCCAAATACTTATGGCCCTGACTGTACCTCCAAAACTACAAACTGGTTTTTGCATGTTTGTGAGCAGACTAAATGAGATGTAACGTGTGAATCGGTAAGCTTAGAGCTGTTGGAATGTGTATTTTATTACTTACAATAATATCAAATAATTAGGGCCCGAGCAACCGACAACGTCGGGCCAGCGAGGCCCTATTGAAATTGTAAGGGGTATTATTAATAGGGCCCGAGCTACTGACAACGTCGGGCCGCGAAGGCCCTATTGAAACTGTTAGGGGTATTATTATTCTGGCTTTTTATTTTTACACTTTGGGAGCTTTTTGGGGGTACTTGCCATGCATGAAAACTCACCATATTTTGGGGACTTGTCAGGTCTGGTGAAAATAGCCATCTGAAATAGGTTGCATCTTTCTGTGTAAAAAAATGGCTCTCTAGCGCCCCCTACAAGTCGGACCGGTGACGCCCCTCGGCCAGTATGTCCGATTGACTTGAAATTCGACACACATGTCCGACACCACTAGATCTACAAAAAAGCCTCTCAGACCCCTAAGCTCCGCCTACTTAGATTTTCCGCCATATTGAATTTAGTGTAAAACACATTTTTGCGAACTCCTCCGACATGCTGGGTTCGGTTACTACCGAATTTGTTGTGGATCATTATTGGATCTAGATCATTAAAAGTTATCAAAAGCTTTTTGATATCTCTTAGCGTTTACAAGATATGGACCAATAAACTTCTTAGGGGCGTGGCTTAATATCAATACACATAACTTCTCAACCGTTTGTCCTAAAATTACAATATTTGCAGCATATGTGCACATCGCATCCTGTAACATACCTTGAGAATTGTTTTGCATTCAACCACTAGGGGGCGCTACAGTAAACCCACGAAGTTGTGCTTTTTGTCACTTTTTGCAGATTTCAGCCTTCGTATTTTAACGAACTCCTCCTAGAGAATTAATGCGATCAACTTCTCCTTTGGTCAGGATGCTCTTAAGAACTTTGTGATTAAAAGTTATCAAAATCGAGAGTTTTCATCCAAGAACCTTGACGTGGCGTGGCGGCCATTTTGCCTCATTGTTTATGAAAAAATAAGTTGTTATAAGTTATTATAACTCCAAGGTCCATTATCCAATCCGCACAAAACTTTCTATGCATGATGCTACTTCAAGCTTGAACATACTTCAATTGAAAGAAATTCAATATCTCATAGCGCCGCCTACTGGCTAAAGGAAATGTCATATTTTATACTTTTATTTATACCTCCTAGCGAGGTGACCTGATGAGTCTCAAATTTGGTAAGGAGAGCCTGAAGACATTGATGATGCATCATCATGAAAATTGTGAGTTTTCGTTGAACGCTGTTGCCGTGGCGACGCATCGTATCCATGAAAAAGGAAGCTGATGGTTTAGTGAGTTGGGATCCTCAAAAACTCATGTAACTTTGTACATGTGTCATAGGTCATAAGAAGACATGGTGTATATGATTTTTTTAATCGTCCGTTTTAAATTGCCTCTATAGCGCCCCCTACAATATTTCAAAACAGCAGCCCCAGCGCTACGTTTGAGCTACATGTATAAAACTTGATAGGCACATGTATCCTCTGGAGACTTAAATATAAGTCTCTTGGGACCATGCTCTAAACCCTACCGGAAGTCGTCCAGTTTCATTTATGTGTCATTTTTCAATCGATTTTGGCCTATTTCTAGTCGCTATACTTTAACGAACTCCTCCTAGGGACTTCCTCAGATCCACTTTAAATTTTGTAAGTAAAATGTCAATACCGTTGTGATTAAAATTTATCAAAAGCTTTACGTTTGACGAAATGGTTTAGCCGTAGCAGGCAGCTACTTTACGTGATTCCCCATGAAAAAAGCTGATGTAACACAGCTGGACTTGTTCCAAACAGTCCCAAACTTCACATGCTTGATAACACGCATGGCCTGAGGATGTCTACAAGCTCATTTTCACTTATACTCACAGCACCTCCTGCTGGCGAAAGGAAATCTGCATTTTGTGACAAACACCTCCGATTTACATGACTTTTACACAATGTGGTTTACATTTGACACAGAGCAACATAATGCATGTTTGCACACGTTCTTTAGCGCCAGGCAGCGGATACAGGAAGCATCGGACTATTTACAAAGCATCATTTCCAGCATCAGGCGGTCCACGCGGGATTAAAAACATCTCGCTCGCGGACGCCGCCATCCGACGGTCGCAGACGTTCTCGGACGCGCAGGCCGGAGTCCCACCGGCACCCCCGACGCGCTGCAGATTGCGAGGGCCCGTTCATCGCTGCTCGCAGCTTTAATTTTTTTTGGACTTGTTCGACATACTACACTATGACTTTTTTATGATTTCTTCGAAGATACTATGCGATTACTTTTTTGACATGCTTAGACTTTTTTTGACATGCTAGGACTATTTTAGACATACTATCCTATGAATGTTTTGGGGCACACCTTTTTTGACATGCTATTCTATGCTAACAGGCTACCAGGTCCACCTGCTTCCAGTGTTTATGTTGAGCGAGGCTAACCTGGTGTCTGACCCAAGCTCTGTGCCTAACACACGGGCATGAGTTTGACATCCATCCTCTTATCACATTCAAGTGGTTTTCCCAGAATGTTGAAGACATTCTGTCCAGGTTCTTCTGTCTGGCAAAAACTGTAAACGGCATTCAGGAGGGTCACTGTCTCATTTGACACCTCACCTGAGCCCATGAGAACTTCCACGGGTATCGACTCCAAGTGCCACTCCAGCTCGCCTAAACAAACACGGCGCGTCCACTGCAGGCACCTGTCACACATGGAAATCCACCAGCTTAATGACTCATTCCCTTTCACACAATGGCTAACCTGTAATTTACCCCCAGCACTTAACAGCACCGCCACCGTAACACGAGGAGATGTGAAGAATCGACCGCTGTTTTCTTTGACCAAGTTCACTGGAGCTGAATGGAGCGGACTGCGTCTCTTTTCACTGGATGCGAGGCTTCCTCCAGCTCTTTACGGGCCGGCTCTCGGCTGCGGTGGTGGTGGCAGAGACGGGGGGGGGGGGGGGGGGGGGGGGGATCGGATATCAGAAGCAAACACTTATTGCTCGAGTTTTTTTGCGTGGTTTCTGGACATGTTATTGGGTTCAATGTGTTGGTTCAAGGAGCAGTCTGTCTTTCTTGTGACCTGAGGAGCTTCAGCTTGGCTTCCGGGGGGACTACTGGTTGAGTCCTAGTCCTACTGAAGACATATGTGTACCAACGGGGCCATCTGGTGTTCACACAGTGATCACGGCAGCAGAGGGCTAGTCGTGAAAACACTTTTTCTTTACCTTGAGACACTGTTTTTATTTGTGCATTGTCTGTCACACCCCTTGAATCCCCATCTTAACAATATTGCTGTTGATGTGAGAAAACTCTAACAAGGGAGCTGTATCTGAAATTCATTTTCACATTTAAAATAACTGAAAACTACTTTGTGCTTCTGTCACATGAGTCCAAATTCATGTCACTTTATACCACTATGTATCACGAAAGCACACGTTCATATGCGAGATCGATTTCTTCGCATAAGACGTCTTTCATTTTTCAGATATTACACACTCGACGTGAAAGAACGTCGGGAACTGCATCTGAAATGCAAATTTCACATTTGAAATAACCAAAGTAGTTACTTTGTGCTTCTGTCATACGAGTCCAAATTAAGGTGTCACTTTACACCACTATGTATGTGAAATCGATCTTGTCACATAAGACTTATTGCATTGTTTCATTTTTCAGATATTACACGTGACGTGAAAGAATGCTGAATGAGCATTAATCTGCCGCTGAACATAGTCCCAAACGAATGCGCTAGTTTCTCCTGTTTGATTAACGTTTGCTTAAAGCTACAGTGACCGGATGTTTTTTTCTTTAAAAGTAAAAACATATCTGTGAGGTATTTAAAAACAGTGTATTGATCAATTATTTGTGAGGTAAAAGGGTGTCTCTGTCTTCCCCGTTACAGGGAAAATATCTTTATGTATGCAACCACTACTAGTGGAATATGAACGAACAAACTGCCGCACATGGGTGTGTGTGTAGCTGTCACATCAATAATACACACACTCACATCATCTAAAATACCTTTTATAAAATAAATTAACTGTATCTGTGCCCCCCCCCCCCCCCCCAAATCAAACCCTCCCAGCCCTTACCCCTCACCTGTCAGTCATTCCCGTATCCCTGGTGCTCAGGGGACCACAGGCCTGTCAGACCTCCAGCAGCCAAAGCCCGTCAAAAACCCACCCATCCCTCCCCTACCTCACCCCCCATCCTTTTCGGGCCCTGCCAAACAAAAATAAAGTCACATTAAAGGGAGAGTGGCCAGGGTCTACTGCTTTGCAGATCAGTCAGTGGATACCTGATTGTCACTCACGGGGCCGGGCCCTTAATCCTATTGTCTCTCCGACAGGATTACTCTCTTGTGGTCCTTCTCTCCCTGTGGCTGTGCGCGGGAGAAAGGCCAGATTAAGGGGATTAGCGCGTATCCTCCTGACTTGTCAAACTGGGATGTAAGGAACCATTGACTTTCTTGGGGGACACTGAATGAGCGAATGCAGAGAGGTGCCTATAAGAAGAAAGGCGGCAAACAAGACGAAATTCCCCGAAAGGACAATGTGATTTGTTTGCTTTTGTTCCCTCGGACTGGGCCAAAAAAGTTCAAAGGAGAAGAGAGATGGAAGGAAAAGGGAAGAGAGAGGAGGGGAAGTTAATTCGGCCGATTTCATATCACTACAGAGATTCATGACAGTCAACTAACTGCTTCAGCATAGCTCTGCTGTACGGGACTATTACACTGGCCGACTTGTGTAGAGTGAACACTGGAGGGGGCAAAACTCCAGTGACACGTTAAGTATAAAAAACAGCTCTGTAAAGTCCCTGAGTTATAATCCAAATTTTAAAGGTGCAATGTTTAAGATCTGATCAGAATTTAGTTTTAAACATTTAAAAAAAGTAACTAATATTATCAACAGAATGTGAAGAGGTTACAGTGTTGGTGTTACGTCAAAGACGTCTATGTGATGCGTAGCAGAGATGTCTACTGAAATTAGCATGCTAACCAGCTAGCCCCGGACTCGTCCTGTCTTGTAATACCACTTGTACCTTCGAGAGGCGATAGTGAGTCACTGTAGTGTCCAGTCTGTCCTCAGTCCAGCATAAGAGGACGGAGAAGTAGAGCTGCCTTCGAGGACCTCTCAATAATGGTGATGGTCCGTGTACGCTTTGATAGTTTGTTGACTGGATGAAATCCAATGGGGCAGAAAAGAGAAACCCTGGCACCCTCTCCTTCCCGCCACCGGGAGGATGCAGTAAAGCATGAGGCTATGCAGGGGGACGGTACCCTGCTCTTGTTATTCTGAATTAATGAGATACCATACCTTGAAACCCCAAGAGAAGCTCTCATTTACTTGAGAGCTTGATTTCATAGAAGCGGTGTTGTCCTGCCTGACGAGTTTAATCCACGTTTGTTTTGGTTTTGGTTGGAGAGATTTAGTGATATTTCACTTCAGTAAAGCAATACCATAATATAGAAACACTCTACAAGTAAAAGTCCTGCATTCAAGGTTTTGCTTAAATGAACAGTGTGTTGCATTCAAGGGGATCTATCTGCAGAATTGGAGTATAACATCAATGATACGTCTCCTTTAATGTGTAATATGCCTGGAAATTGAAATGGTTGGGTTTTTGATACCGTAGAATAAGCTGTTTATATCTACATAAGGACAGTACACGCAGTACACACTGCACATTTAATTACAATTACTTAAGTAATAGCATCAAAATATGATACTCAAGTATCAGAAGTATTCTTGCAGGATTTGGGGGAATATTGTTAATTCAGATAAACAGAGCAGATTTTCCCCATGCAAACTTTTCTCAGATCTATCGAGATAATTACCTCGTTCATCAGAAAAACAGGGCAAATATTGTTTGCTTATGCAACGTCAATGCAACACTTCCGTATTTGAAAAGACTGTTGACTGCTGGTGCTGAGGTAAAATAGACCCCGCCTGCCTGGTGACAGATGATGCGCGAGTCATTGAAAGCACCATTTCAGAGTGACAACAGAATTGGCCAATTGCTGTCCAAAAGAATACCGGCTACGTTGAAGAATGGACCAATGGCTGAGAGTTCTCAGATTGTTGACGTTTAGCCGAACTTGTTTTGTTTTGGTTAGCCACCGAGCCTGACGCTTTATTAAAAATGCGACTGTTAATTTACAGTTTAGCGGTTAAGATATACTAGTATCTTCTATTTGATGGCAATGGGGTCACTTAAGTTCATCGTTGGACAGGAAAATTCAGCGACGGAGGCCACAGTCACAGAGGTAAAAGCTAACTTAGCCGACATTTTTTGAACAGCTAACGTTAGCGTAGCTAGTTAGTTAGCTACATTAACTTAGTTAGCCTGTTGGCTAAAACTTATTACCCCGAGTTTGACTGAACAAGTATTTTATTTTTCATTATTTGGTTGCTACTTACTAGCTTGTGCGTTGATATATTAATACACGTCCCTGCTTGGAGGCCAGTTTTATTCGCTCCAACAGTTGCAAACATGGGTAATGTAACTAAAGTTAGCAGTGCTGTTGAAATAGTATATTAGAAGCTAACTCAGGTAACGTTAGCAATAACACTCTTTTTGATTTCTCTTTTAACGTTAACTGAGGTGAGCTGTTTAAGGAAATACAAACCCTAGTGACACTATCTCGCAAAATGTGGTTACAGATATCAAGATACAGAAGATCACTTATGGTATCATACTCATGCTGATGGTTCAGAGACTGTGAAATGGGACAAGGTCTGCCAGCACTAGCTCCAAATCTTGAAAACAGTGATGAATTTAAGTGACACATTGAAATCTAATCTAGCTGGTTAGCTGTATTACATTCCAAAGAATTAGTCTTTTCTTGGAGAGTATTACTTCTGCTGCAGGTAGAAATGGTAATTTAATGTGGGGTCTCATCCACAGCAGTGGCTGCCTGTGTTACACAGTTCCAGTGAGTTCTGAGTGATGCAGCAGTGTTTACAGGCAATGTGATATCTGATTCCAAAGGCTCTGCCCAGTTGGATCCAGACAGGATTTCTGGGCAGCTGAGCTCAAGTTTGTTTACTTCAGCAGGAGAAGCAACAATACGTAAAACAGAGACAGAAAGGTTAGAGGTGAGACGGTAAGGCCATTATCTACAGAAAATTAATCGGAAACAATTTTTGACAATCAGTTTATCGTTAAAGTAGAGGGCAGGACTGTATCTTTTTTTTTTTTTTAAACTGTTTAATTTCACGACATTAAGTACCCTCAGTCAAATTTGACTTGTGCATAACTCATTTATTCCGTATGTATCACAGGAAAGCTTGTTTAGAATGATTTGATCATTCTACAACTAGGGTTGTAATGATACACCAGTATCACCGTAATACAATTGACGGTTATTATATCAAACTGTACATTTGCTTTTCTACAATATAGAAAGAAACTGACATGAGTGAGTGTGTGTGTGTGTGTGTGTGTGTGTGTGTGTGTGTGTGTGTGTGTGTGTGAGTCAAAGGTAAAAACGGGAGCAGTCTGAGTGTGCTGTCACACACCTACAATATGCTAATTGTAAATAATCATAGGACATTATTTAAGTAGCTCGCAGCTGATGTTGTTCATTTAGTAGATAATGTTAACATGTCAACTATTAATATATTATAATACATACATCAGTTTTATAATTGCGTTTTTTATTGTAATTCTGTTTTCACTCTGATTGTAACATATAATAGTAATAAAAGTGTAAACCATGATATTTTCCGAGATGGTTATTGTACCGTGACAATCTCCTACTAATACAACCCTACCTAAATGGTGTTTGAATAAAAAATAAAAAAAGTACATTACAAAGTAATCACTTTCCGAGTGTATGGTCATATTTATTGTAAAAAGTAATAAGGAAAGTATTTATAATGTGCTTGCGATGCAGGAGGGTGTTATGGAAAGTCATTTGTGTTTGTTTTTTTAATGCCCTGCTCTTGGTATTTCCATGCCAGAATGCTGTAAGTTGTTTCCGTTGCCTCTTCCATCCAGTGTGTGTAACAAGATCGGTATGTCTATGTATTTACAGGCCAGGCTGGTGTGCCAGGGAGTAAACAATCAGAGCTACATCTGCGAGTCGGGTCACTGCTGTGGAGAGACACAGTGCTGCAGCTACTACTATGAACTGTGGTGTGAGTTACCTACCTCCCCTGTATCCAGTGATAGTGTTTGAATGGTTTCTCGTCATGACACTTATTAAATGATACGAAGCAGGAATACACAAAACCACAAGTGCATAAATGTGTCAATAAATCAATCCATACAGCTTATACCATGTACATTTGCTTTATAGTTTTTTACTTTATCCACAAAGAATACACTTTAAATGAGAGGAAATCTGAAATGCAACAAAAGGGATGACATAGATTGAGGATCTGATGTTTGTACCAGTTGAGCGAGTGGAGCCGGTCCCTGTGACTAATTTTTCACCTACAATCAGCACTTGTTTTGCTGTGCGGCTGCCCGGTTGTATCTCCTTAAAATGGCATGTGGGTGCTTCTATAACATAAGGACTCCCAGCCCTTCAGAACAATCTCTGGCATTTTTGATACAAAGAACGTCCAAGCCAACCAGTGGCCAAAGATTTATTATAAAACTTAGTGTCTTTTTGTTATCTCCGTCATGATGTGTGTACTGTAGTGTGTGTCGGAGTAAAGCACAGAGAGAGGAGGTTTGAGGCGAGGAGATCTCACTCTGTAACTTCTAAACCAGGGGTCACTAATAGGCGGACCGTGGTCCGGAACCGGACCCAGACACCATTTTATCCGGACCCTGGACCTACAACCGATAGATAATTGATCATTATTACATTTTGACAGAGCGCAGCTTTTCTAGCCTTTACGGCACTTGTTCAGCGGTCCAGGAAACACACCGAGAGGAATAGAGCTGAAACAAGTGGTTTTATTAACCACAGATATAATCCCTGCACACAAATTTCTCGTTTTAGTAGATGCAAAAAACACAATATCATGGTTTTCTTGGTTGACATTACTTTACCCTGAATGAACAGAATTTAAAGCTGCAGGGCAATTCGGTGAAATACATTTTTCTAAAATGAAGTACAGTCACATTTTTCAAAAGCTTTCTGTTATTGAATTTATTCTTAAATCCAGCCCTTATTTTACTTGAAATGAGAGAAGAACATTTATTTATGATTATAATTCATCCAGTTCAAATTGAAAACTGATAAGTAAATATTGTTTAGATGTTATTCAATTGAACTTTCTTTATTTGATTTGACAGTCAGCTGTTGAGCATCCCTATTGACCAATTTGTCGCTGCTTTAAAGTGGTTTACACTTGAATTTGAATTCCTGTTAATCTTGAGGAACTTTTATCTTTTTAACAACTCAGCACATTTATATCTATGTATTAATTTGTTATATTTTGTTAAACAAAGTTAAGAAAGCAATGTCAAGTCAAGCTTGATATTCTTTTACATGTAAAGAAAATGTTCCCAGCCTCTTCCACACAGTGAGACATACAGCTTATTGATTAAACACTGATATCAGCCACACCAAACTCCAGCTATTGCTAGGGACTGAAAAAGTCTGATTGGTGCATCCATAGTTTTGGGTGTTATTGTCATACTGTTGGTGGTGTGTTCGTGTTTTTGTTCTGGTGCTCTGCACTGATCTGACTACTGCCCGCCCACCTGCTCTCATTCCTGCCTCTCTGAAGCTATGTCCACCGTCCTCCACCGGCCAGTAGACAAGAACCTGATATTATAGTATATTATCCCCTATTGCTGCCTGCCACATTTGGTCTTTATGAACAGAAATCATGTATGTGTTTGTTTGCGTATCGAACGGGGAAGTGAGATCCAATCAAGTGGTCACATTCTAATGCCAGGTGTGAACTGACGGACATAGAGCTGTCCCCTTGTGATCGGATCATCCAAGGTGCATGTTAATGTCTGTAAGGTCTGAACAAAGACAGATCTCACCACTTTTTCAACAGTGACACACCCACTGAAAGTTAGCACGTTATAGTAAACAACATTAAAATCTGATTTTTGGCCTATTTTGTCAATGAAAAGAATTAAGCAACAAAAAAAATCATTTTTTTAAACACATTTTATATTCGTTTTTCAGTACTGAAGCTGAGATTTTGACAGTTATATATATATTTTTTCTTTGCACCTTGCACCATTTGTCTAGATATGTATTAAGTGTGTTCTGTACTGTGGGCTCCCTGCAGGGTTCTGGCTGGTATGGACTCTGATCATTATCCTGACGTGCTGCTGCGTCTGTCAGCACTGGCGCTCCAAGCAGCGCTTCCAGCAGCAGCGCCGGCAGAACGAGATCAACCTCATCGCGTACCGAGAGGCTCACAACAACTCCCAGCTACCCCTCTATCTCAGTGAGAGTCTGGCACGCTGCTGCCTCTGCACATTCCACACGTAGCTAGGTTCTACGTCTCTGACACATTGTGCATGTTTGCAAGTCCAATGAGCGACAAGTTGTCAAACCTTCACTCACAAACTCCATCTACAACACACAAGACTGAACTTAGGTTCACATTTACTTGTACTATTCTAGTACAATGCTCAAATATCTATATGTGTAGGTTCTCAGTCCTTGATTTGTGTAAAAATACATTCTCAAATTCAGCTGAAGATAATGAGGCTTTAGCAGTCAGCAGAGGAAGACAAATAAAGTGGGTGTCTTTAAAAGTTACAGTCGTGCGTACAAAATTCCTGCAAAAACAACATAGAGCTGAGGGGAACTGAAGAGTTGGGGATGTTTGACCCCTTTTTCACTTAAATCATGTCATTGATTAGTGCAGCTTTAAACCCTACATTCCTTTGCGATCGTGAGAATGTTGGAGTAGAAAAGCTAAATGGAATTAAGTTTAGCTAAACATCCTCAGTCATTGTACACGACTGAGGCCCAATCCCAATCTCCACACCGACGAACTCTCGGACTTTGATGCACGCTCCCGAAACGTCGACGTGGGTTTAGGGCTGTCGAATCGTCAAGTGTTTTTTTGGGGCTCTCTCGCAGACATTTTGAACTTTTTATGAACACTTTCCGTAAGTCTGCATTTCTGCAGACTTTGCCCAAGGGAATTACCCACAATTCATATCAATGTGACGTTAAACACGTGGTTACCAGGGGGCAAAAAAGGGTAAACAAAGACAACAGCAAAATGTTCAGCCTGGCTTATTGAATTTACACAGACACATTAACATTAAGGATTTAAGATGGTTCATAAAAACACATGAAATCAGAGGTATGCTAGTAGTAGTAGTCATTTTGTTATTGAAGCTGTTTTGACAAAAACGAGGAAATGGATATTTGACGGTTACCTCTCATCTTGTAAGGCCAGAGCCTGGAATACGCTCAAATCAGGGAGTCAAAAAAAATAAAAATAATACCCACAGTTTATGATGTTGTCAAGGTTGTCGCAGCAAGGTGTTTTTGTATATTATTTCAAGCCCCTGCAGCCTCTCACACTCAACCATTTAACAGGTGTCGTCAGTTAAGTCCCTGAAGATTCCGGGTTTAAGGCTTTAGGGGGGACACTGAGACTCGTCTTTCATTCTTGTCTGTATTGTGTCATTCTCCAGGATTCCTGCCCACCTACCTGCTGCCGGCCTATGAGGAGGTGGTTGACCGTCCCGTCACGCCGCCTCCCCCCTACACCCCTCTGCAGTCAGCACCCTCACCCACGGACCCACCTGAGGAATCTCCCCGCCTCCACCTGGCCATCTCCGTACCCGGCGACGCGCCACTCCCCACCACTCCGGAGGTGGCGCAGACCCATCTCCACAGCGCTCACAATCCCAGCAAGGACTCGACGCCGGGCAGGTACCGGCGCTTCACGGGGGACTCCGGGATCGAAGTGTGCGACGGCCAGGAGCTGTGGGATCAGCGCAGCCTTTTAGAGACGGAGGAAGAGACAGTGGAAGAGGGGGCGGGTCAAACGGAGGACCCATGCGAGAGCTGCGGTCCCGACTCCTTTGAGCGCAGCCACGTTAGCGATGCAGTCATTCATGAAAACACAGATGGACACACGTCTGTGGAGACAGAGCCACAGTCTCTTAGGTAATCCGCAATGATGTCTTTTAGTATCTGCAGCGGTCACTGATAACAATGTCACACCTTTGGTGCTCAGGGGTTTGGTCTGTTTGATTAACACCAGTGTGTGTGACAGGCCTGGAGACGAATGGCAGGTATGAGTACATAGTTTGACTTTCTAAATATTTAAAGTTACATCATGCAACTTCTGGTTTGAAGCAGAGGGTACGTTTTTAGCCTAGCTCCTCTCCGCTCCTCTTCATTTAAAAGTTGGAAGTTTGGACAGTTGCTCATGTTGACCAGCTGTCTGCTTTGAAATGTTCTCCTGCCAGGAAGCAGCACTGATGTTCATTTTGTTTTCACATTTACTTAAACGGTTCTTTGCTCAGTGGTTCTCTGAGTCCCAGAGCCCCACGTAACTGAAGGGGCTGTCGCTCTGTCACTGACTGTAGCATTAGACTAGATGATAACATGGTAGCTCAAACTCAACCAATACTTTGGTTTTTGCAAATGCTGATACTTGAGGAGTTGTTTTTTTTTCTCAAGCCAAATGCATAATGAAGATAAATTATCCTTAATTTAAAAAGATGTAAAAAAAATGACATGTGGGTCTCGTCCAATTTGCCCACAAGTTTGGAACAAGTTTTAAAGTTGAACTGGTAACTCAACTCCGTGCTACGTTTGGTGTAATTTATCGGTGTCAAAACTGCAGCCTAAGCCACACCGGCAACATGCTGTAGTTATGTTGTCCACGGAGTTTTCAACTTCACAGACAAACCTATAAAACAACTTCTACCTGTTGGACTCTGGTGTCTTCAGCTAGGCCTCTGTCGCAGACACATTCTGAATCTATAATTACACAAGACTTTGTTAAATCACACTTAATAGACATAAGCGTTGCAATAACAATGCCACACACGGAGACAACATTCAGTTTCGCAGGACCATGTGAGCCGACGACAGAGCTACAGCCCCCAAAAACATCCACTTCTGTCCGCTCATTGTGAGATGCATATTGTAGCTTTCAAGGGCAATTGTCATATGATTGGAGGTTTTGTTTCTTTCATATTGATGGCGACATGTTCGCTCTGATCAGAAGGATTTAAAGTCAAGTCAGTCAGCGAGACTTGACTTTAGTAAATGATTGAGCACTTGATGTGCTACATTTTTGCAGGACTGGGTCGGAATTTACAGGGATCTCATTTCGAGATGCCATAGTGCCATAACATGTAGCCTTATAGCCTTTTGAGTAGAAAGTATTTAGGTGAACTTGATCACAGCTCTAGAGTCTCTTGGACTTAGAGTCAACTTAAGTAACCCTTCAGTGCACCCAATGATGGATTCATGTACCTGTAGATATGCAAATGAGAATATCTTAACATGTTGCTGTCAGTGTGGACACACAGGTTTTTGTCGGGAGTGTGTTGATCCACGAGCGTGTGTGTATGCAAAGGGAATAACTGACTGAAACACTCCACGGCTCAATCCCAATCTCCACACTCACGTGAGGGTTTAGTTCTGTCCCACTGTCAAATCATCGATTGTTTGAGGGCTCTCTGGCAGACATGTTGAGCCCTTTAGCATCCCTTTCCGTAAATCAGCATTAGATGCAGACTTTGCCCAAGGGCATTACCCACAAGTGGGGGGTTAAACACAGGGTAACCCAAAAAAAAAGGTAAACAAAGAGGACGGCCCAGGTGTGTTCAGCCTGTCATATTATATTTACACAGAAACATTAAGGGTTAAAGATGGAACAAAACAAATTAAATCAGGAAATGTATTTATTTATTCATTGAACATTTCATTTTGTCATTGAAGCTGTTTTGACAAAAACTAGTAAATAGATGATTTGAAATGACCTCATCTTGTGAGGAAAGAGCCTGGAAGACGTTCAAATCAGGGAGTACAAAGTATAAAATAAATTTACAATTGTCCATCATATTTTTTGTCGTTGTCATGGTAACGTGATATGTTTATGAATGAATGCTCTCCCATTCGTATTTACACCATTTCAAGCCCTCAGTCTCTCACACTCAGCCACTTACGCCAGTAAGTCCCTGAGGGTTCAGGGTTTGAGGCTTTAGGGGACATTGGGATTGGGCCCATGTATAAAATGTGTCCTTCCGGTGCACCGAGGGGACTTTTCTCCAACTGAGTCTGTCAGATGAGCACTTTTCCACACATACAGCATTTAATAGTGGTCTTCAGCACCCTGTGCTACACTCTGTATATATGCCCTTTATTACCTGCTAAATAAAAATTCTATTTTTCTGTCGCATTTTTGTAAAAAATATGGTTATTCAAAGTTATGGAGAACACATGACTACTGTCCTTTTGTTTTTTAAGCAAAGTAAAGCTTTATTTATGCAACACACTATTCTAGCAGAGATCCATTGAGCCTCGCAAACATAAATCGAGCTGTACACTATATGTTAATATACACTGTATACTGTATTTATATACACTTTACACAGTGGATATTTTATCGCGCGTTAACGCAGTTTTTTTTTTAAATGCAATACACACCAATGATGCCAGCAAATCACCCAAACAAACAGTGGAGGGAGGCTTCGGCAGACTACGTTAGATGCAGCGTGTGGGAGTATGAAGGTATATTTGTGTCTTTATCACGCAAACAAAAAAAGTTTTGAGAGCAAATTTCTCGCACTGCAATCAAAAATCAAGTTTGTAAGTAAAATTATATAAACTGAGAATAAATTATTTGTTAGTTTTGCTTATGAAACGAGAATTCTTGTCTGCAAAACAAAAAACTTTGCTCTAAAAAAAACAACTTTGCTTTTTGTTTTGAGAGCAAAGGTTTTTGTTTTAAAAGATTTGTTCTCAAAACAAAAAGCTTTGCTCTCAAAAAATGATGGATGTAGTGGGCGGGGCATACGCTGCTGAATGAGCCAGGAGTTGGGTGGGTTCGACTTGGCATCTGCTTCCACTGTATGACAGGATGTGATGAGCGACATGGAGGTAAGTTGACATTATATTGCTCTGTTTTGTCAAAATTATTTTAAATGTAGCAGCATTTCACTTTCATGTTGTTGGTGTCGTGGAGTCTCTTTTTGTACGTTGTAGCCCACTGTGGGCTAACGTTGCATGCACTGAGAAAGCGAGGCTTCATGTCAACACAACAGCCCTCCATGTCGTTCTTTGAAAAAAGGTCCCAGAACCCTCACATCGGAACAGGAAAATCTCCCCAAAAAACCCTTTTAACTGGGAGAAAAAAAGATAGAAACCTTGGGGAGAGCAACAGAGGAGGGATCCCTCTATCAGGATGGACAGAAATGCAATAGATGTCATGTGTACAGAATTACTAACACATTAAATGCATATGACAAAAATTATTTATATAATGAGAGTAGTAAGCAGATGGAAAAATTACAACTACGAATAATAACAGCAGCAGTGGCTATAGTAGAATAACAATGATAACAAAAGCAGTATTGGTATTGGCAATATACAAATGTAAGGATTGGTCGGGGAGATCCCAACCTCTTCTCTGGTTTTAATCAGAAGTTCCACAGACTCTTACATTTGTTGGGAACAGCACTGGTACTTTGCGGCCCCTTTTTCCCCGTACCTCTATCCTGATGAGATTCCCGCATAGTTTTGTCTCAAAAGGTGACAGGCTCTCCAGAATTTCATCCTGCATACTGTGCTTGTTTCTCTGCAGGTATGTTTGGACTTCCATCCTTGAAACTTCTCCTTCACGACGGCGACTAAATAATATAAGCTGTGTCAGAGAGCTTTATTGTTAACCTCTTCAAGGCATTTCAAATGTGTTGAACTTTCCTGGATTGATCAAGTCCTTCAAATAGACAATGTCTTTGTCGAATTGTCTTGCAACCATAACAAGTCTGGCAAGTTCCCTCATCTTATTTCTGATGTCTGCCCGATGTCGTCCAACTTCTCTGTTTTTGAGGAAAATTCTCTCCCAATGAAATGATCAGCATGTCAGATTTCACCACTTGAGTCACAGGGTCATATGTCATGTCTTCAAGAATTTTTTTAAGTCCGTTGGAAATTGCAGTGTCCATGGGCAACATCAGGGAACCACTTCACTGAACTTTTCTTTTCCCTGGTCCATCCTTTTTCACTTGTAGTTTGCAGCACTTATGATGCCTCCAGAGGTCTGTTTTGACATACATAGCAAAGCAGAACTTGCAAGGCAGATAGTCTGTTGCTGTCGATTGATAGATTGCTTGCCTTTTAGGTATGATTTGTCCTTTACCGGAGGACAGAACTGAACAGTTATGCTGGTAGTTTCCCATGTTTCTTAATTTGCTCAAAAGAAGACTGTGCATGGTTGATCCTTGATTGTATGCAAGTGCCTTAGCCACTTCAGCTTTATCAGAATGCTTCTGCTTCAGATGTCTTGCAATTTTTGCACAAGGCTTCTCACAGTAAATGCAGTAATTCCTCTTGTCATAGATCCGCTGATGTGCAGTGTTTGAGGTCATTTTCACTGTGATTTGTTGTTGTGGGTTACCCCCATTGACATTTTGATCCATTGCCTTTGGGGTGCTTGCAGGTAGTTTTCCTTGGATTACTTCCTTTTCTACTACTACTTTTGCTGCTGCTGCTGCTTCTGCTTGTTGTTGTTGTTGTTCTTCATCTGACATTTCCAGGGAAAGGAAAATCTCTTGCTCAGTGGTCTGAAATAAAGAAATGTAACTTATTAAATAATTTGCAAATATTAATAGAATGCATTAATTCCTGTGCTACTTTTTTAAGTTATCATATTAAACATTTTTTTAACATCTCTGGTTATGTAATTAAACCGCTAATTACCATTCCACTCACAGATAATTCCTCTTTAGAGGGAGACGATGAATCCATGAGGTCACTGCTAGTTATCTCTGGCTGATCACTGAAAATGCTCTCTGGGATATCCATCTCATCTGGTGTTTTCGGACAGCAATGTGCTGTAGGGGCGCTGTCCTGTAACAACAACAACAACAAAAGAAAAAAACATTGCATGAATCCACACATCAAGTGCCTGATTTGTTGTCTGCCTCTTTTTCCAGCGTATTTATTTTTGTTATTATTGCTGTTCATCATGCCTCATTCAGTTTCACCATTTGAAAGTATTAGTCGAAGAGTCTTTGTCTAATATTTTTAAATCAGGTCAAATTATGCAGGTGTCATATATTATACAATGGTTGAAAATAGAGATGGGCAATATGAATATAATATTGTCACTGTATAAAACACTAAGTGTCGACAGAATAATTTAAAAGCCACTGTTTATAAATACAATATCCAGATGGGACCTTCCTTTTTGGCTAATCTAGAAAATGATTCACAACGTCACAAATAAAGGTACACAAATCCTGTAAATCCCATATATTCATGAAGCAATTCAGCTCATTCATTTACAGCTGTTCCCAGAATGTTCCTTTACAACCAGAGATATTAAATATATTTGCCTTTATATGAACAGTAGGGAAACATTTCTACAATGGAAAAATCTTTCTCTTACAGCAAATAAACTTTATATAACCCAACCCTACTTCAAAACAATTAGGCACTTCATTTATATTCTCATTGGCAGAGTTGGTGGTGGTTTCAGTGTATTTAGGCTCAGGTGTCAAACCTGTAAATATGTAAAAGTAGGGTTCATCATTTCCATAAAAGGTTTCCAATCCCTAAAAAGTTATATTAACATATAAAAATTCTGGAATATTTTTTTCAATGAGGTGAAGAGAATGTTATTCTTGGAACTTACATGTGACAGCCTGAAGGCATTCCTCAAGGGTAGGACTTTCTCCAAACGATCTACTCAGAATTCTGGTAATAATGTCTTTTTGGCTCATCCAGCTTTCTTCACATTGAAGAGTGAAGTTGCCTGTTCTGACATTTTGAGATAGCCCAACTGGATCATTGGAGTAGGGTGTCCTTGTTTGATAGGGATGTTGCCCATCAGTCAGGATGTAATGCACCAAGCACCCTGTTACCTAAAATATAATGGATCAATTTAAAATATTGTCCACTAAAAGTTACCAGGACAGCTCTTGTACAGTACAATTGCACAGAATGAATAATAATTTAAAAAAAATTTAATGACTTGCTCTGAATATTGACCTTATTGAAAAAACGGTTTTACATGGCAATGAATACTCATTGATTGGGCTTCTTTGGACTCATGGATCACAATACCATCATCATGTACATTTAAATCACCATTTTTAAGCTCTACTTACTTGGATATCGGATTCCTTCTTGTACTTGTGTTTTAAGCCTCCAACATCCTCATAACTGAACCAAGAAAAAGATCTGGCCATTTGAGAAAACCGTGTGATTTGGGGAATTCTGCTTGCTCCAAAGTCTGCGATAAACAGTTTATTGTTAATATTTGTAGACAAGTAAAAATGGTTGTTAATCATATAGCATTTAAAACAACATCCACAAAATTACAATATAGTATCATCAAAATCTATGCATCAAAATTATTATCACAGGATGGTTCATCCATAGAAATTATTTTACCGAACAAAATATTTTGAGGCTTCAGGTCTCTGCAAAATTCCATGTGAGTGGAGTTCCTGAAGTCCCAGCAATAACTCCTGGTAGATCCCCAGTCTTCGATGCTCGGTCAGGCTTTGCCTCTCAGGAAAATCCTTGTTTTCAATCAGCTCCTTCAGACTGTATTCACAGAGAGTGGT